TCCCCTACCATCCTATCCCCACCATCCTAGCCCCACCATCCTAGCCCTACCATCCTGCCTGACCTGTCAACAGGGCCTTTCAGTTTTCCAAATAAACCATGCACTTTAAACACCAGCCCCCAAGACTCCCCGGTCCCAGCTCCCATCACACTCCCTTCCCAAGACTCTGATTGCTCAAGGGACCCGGCTTATGTGGAATCGTTGGGTCCTTTTGATTCTGGCTTATTCAGGGTATTTCAGTTAGTATGACTTAACCTCATTCAGTACAACAAACTCAAGACTCATCCATGTCATCACTGGTCTGATTTTCCTCCTTTTAAAAATCTCAATTATATTCCTCAAAAAAAAATTTTTATAAAAAAAGAAAAGGCAATTGAGAATCTAATGCCAGTTACCCAGAGGCTTTGCAAATTGTCTTACAAAATCATAAGGTCTGGTTACCACAGGGACACAGTGTCCAGTGACACCACTGCCGATGACCCCTGACCTTTCCAGCTTCTCCACTACTGCCTGGTAAGCTGGGCTCCATTACTCCCAGCTGACCCACCCTTCCCTGCACATGCCCTGAATCCTTCACTCTGTTCCCCTGGCTGGGATGTCCTCGTTTCTTCCTAGTTCTGTTTATTGCAGCCTTGCCAAACCTGTGGAGCAAGCCTCTTTCTTAGCAATACTCTCTCCTTTGACCCCTGCTGTTTACTCCTTATCATCTTCCCCCTGGGTTGGGGAAGCAGCACTACCTCTCTCTGTGTGTCAGCTCATGAAGGTCGGTCTATAGGCCTCCTGCTTGCTTAGGTATTGGGATGTCAGGGAGCCTGAAGTGGCCCTCAGGCTCCGCCCAAGGCTGCAGAGGTGTGGTGTGAGAAGGGCCTTGAACTTCCTAAACACTCATCTCTTCCGAAAGGGCGAAGATGTGTTTTCAGGTCCCATGGGTTCTGGTTCAAGGTGGAGCTACAGTGGGGGCTGACACCAACACTCCCTTTTACCTTCAATGTCAAAAATATATTCTGGGCTCTTCCAGGGGAAAATACAGTGGACCACTGTGACCTCCAGGGAAAAAGTCCCAAGAGTGTCAGGTGTGTCTTACAAGGTGGGATGTGGGCATCTGAATAGGAGGACCCAAGAGAGGAAAACTCTGCCCCCAAAAGAACTTTTGTAGCTGCAATCCCATCTTCAGGAAGCTGGGCTAAGGGATCTGTGTCAAGGTCCAGGGCATACCCTGTATCCATAAAAGAAAACAAAGTGTGGGTCACTTACCCTGCTCACCTTGACTTCCCAAGGCCACAGCCCTGGCTAGGTTAATGTTTCCTTGTACCAGAACCAGCTGAATCATGCTTACACAACAGAGGGAAAAGGTGTTCTGGCCATCTGCTCACCTGTGCTGTGCCTCTGAGCCAGACAGCCCCTCCAAACACCTCAGGATCAAGCAGTAGCCCTCCCCCCCCCCATTCCCCTCCATCCTCTATCCCTTCGTTCCTTCCATCTCCTTACCCACAACCTAGAGAATGGCCAGTACATGCCATTCTTCCTGGGAACCTAGTCACAAGGCCCTACAGAGAGCGCCAACAGTTATCCTGGCAGTAACTGCCCACCCACGCCCCCGGGAAGGCCTCTTCAGCATCCTTAGTAGAGATGGTGGCTTTAAGACAAAATGGTGCATCCCTGCTCCCATAGAAAGATGAAAACAAAACAAAACCACGGGAACTATGACACTAGAGTGTGGTTTGTGCTGGGGCACACATGCCACGCTCATGCAACTGCTGGGCACTGCTGGCACGGTGCCGTGGGGTGGCCATTCCATGAGTACCACATAGGGATGGGACGCAGGCTGGCTCTTCCACTCTCTGATCTCAAACCTGTTTCTCTGTCTGCCTGTGAAGGCATGGATCCAGAATCCACACAATATGATTCCGCCAGTTTTCATTTGTTTAAAACAAGTCCGTATATCCAGCCCATACGGGAAGAAATGAGACTCCACAGGCCCTAAGGAAGGAGTTTGTAAAACTGCCATGGCCTGTGTGCCAGCCACAGTCATTCACATTTCCCCCACATGCAGAACCAACTCATGGATCTGGGCACTATGAAGGGAACCATAATCCCACACTTGGGAGGCAGAAGCAGGAAGTTGCCCAAGTCAAAGCCAGCATGGGAAACATTCACTCAGAAAACAAATATTCACCCCTCCTCACTTCCTCTAAAACCCATCAACTGCAGTTCGCAGTTGCAGTCCAGGACTGCCCTCCAGAAGAAATGACAGAGAGGACCTCAAAGGCAAGAGCAAGAGCCAAATCCATTCATACCCAAAACCTGCATCTACTCAGGGCTCAGATGCAGCCTGGCATCTCGTTGCAGTCCTTCAAGTGTGGCCCCTGGGGCCAGGTATCCCAGCATGGGGACAAGCCTAGGGCAAGCACTTTGCTGTTCAAAGTAAAAGGTGAAGGTGATGGTGAGTCCTGTACTCTTCTGCCTTTTGAGCTCCTCTCTCAGTTGTCCTTCAGGAAAAGTAGCCTAGGTCTGCACTACAACCTTCAGGAATCATGGACTTCTGCATGCTCTTTACCATCCCCAGGAGTTAGGATGCTCCCATTAACACACATCTTCAGGGAAGCTGTCCCTACTGCAGCCCTTGGGGAGGGGCCTCTAATTGTTTTTCTTGACCTTCCAATTGCAGTTTGAGCAATCTTAGGCCACCCACAGGAGTATGAGATGATACGGCCTCATGCTTTCTGCCAGTTGAATTTGGTGAGTCAGTGCCGTCTTCATTCAGTGCTCTTGCTAACCCTGCGCATCCTCCCTGTCCCTTCTCTCCAACGTGAGAGAAGGTATGTCTTGGTATGTCTTGTCTGAACCTCATTGTAGCAGCTGATCTCGATTGTCTTTATGGGATGTCAGGTCTCCATGGAAACAAATCTCTGGGCACAACTGCGAAGGAATGTATAGATTCAAGTTAATGAAAACCCACCTTAAGTGTGTGGGCTGAGGTTCAGTATTGCATAAAAAAGAGAGAGGGAGCTGAACACAGAATTCATCAGTCTCTACTTCCTGATCTCAGATGTAAGGTGACCAGAGCTGCCTCACTCTCTGCCACCATGCCTTCACCACCATGGACCACGCCCTCAAACCATGAGCACTGACAGCCCTTCCTTCCTTTTGTTGGGCATTTTCTTTTCTTTTTTGTAAATGAGAAAAACATAGAGGTCTCCCTATTACTACAGGGAATTTTGCTTATGTCCCCTCATTATAGAATGGATCCCCTCAGATTTTCTGATGCCTCCTTGGGACAGTCAGCCTCCAGGCTGTTCTTTGGGGGAGATTCCATCACCTACCCTTCTGCCAACTCCATTTCAGCACCAGAGCAAGAAGCACGCCAAGACCCTGAATTTTAATCACATAACCTTCGATTTTTACCCCTTCTGCCAGCTCACACACCGCTCAGTGTTGGAAAATTTTGAGGCCAGGATCATCTCACACTCCTGTGGGTGGCCTAAGATTGATCAAACTGCAATTGGAAGGTCATAAAGGAAAATTAGAGAGCCCTCCCCAGGGGCGGCAGTTACGGACAGCTTCCCTGAAGATGTGTGTTACTGGGAACATCCTAACTCCTGGGGATAGTAAATAGCATGCAGAAGTTCACAATTCCTGAAGGTTGGTGTATGCATAGGACAGTAGAGGCCTGGAGAACAAGGCCAAAAGGCCTCAGCTAGGAACCACCATAATCCTGCCTGTGCTGGCACAAAGGAAAAATACATGCACTGAATCAGTCAACAAACATTTGTTGAGCAACTTCTCTGTGCCTTGGGAATGAAACAGTAAAGACCACTCTTGCATTTCCTGCCCACAGAGAGCTTACACGGTAGGGGAGGGGGCAGGGGGTGCCATGGATATGTTTAGTTTCTCTGTGGGCAATAACTGGGGGTGGCAGGGCATGGAGGAACCTAGAAGGCTCTTAGGTTGTGTGGAGGGATACAGCGTGTTTGGGCTGAGCGCCTAGAACCTGACGTTGGTAGGCTGGTAGAGACAGGTGCCTGCTATCACAACCGGAGGGCAGAGTCCATGCAAAGGTTGTGGTTAGAGCCAGCCCGGCAGACTGAAGGGGTAGGAAAGGGCCTCCAGAAGTGGTTTTTTGTGGTAGGGCTGGTGGGGATGGGGACGGGGCGGGGGGTGCTCCGGAAGGGAGCCTGCAGGACAGAGCTTTGGTCTGAAAGTGATGGACAGGTTACTGGAGCCTGTATTCTCTTCTGACTTACCTCTACCGGAAGGACCATGACCCTGCCTGGGGAGGGTCTGTGGCACCCAGACAAGGTGGAAGGGCCAGCAGAGAGGGGAACATCTGAGAAGAAAACCAGAGTCAGGGCTGGAGAGATGGCTCAGTGGTTAAGAGTACTGTCTGTTCTTCTAAAAGACCTGGGTTCAATTCCCAGTACCCATATGGGAGCTTACAACTGTCTGGATTGCTAATTCCAAGGGGTTTGACACCTTCACCCTAATGCACATGAAATAAAATTAAATAAATTATATTTTAAAAATTTTAAAAAGAAGAAGAAGGAGGAAAGAAAACCAGAGTCTGTGAAGAAGTGGGAAGGGCATGAGTTTGGAAGCTCAGGCCCACCAGAACACAGCCCCAGGTCCATAGCCGGTGGGTGATCTTATTTGCCTCAGTCCACAGCACAGAAGTTCTTGCTTATCACTCTTGGGTGCAGGAAATGACCTAGGTAATGCAAAGCCTTTTTTAACGTGCTAGGAGTGCTTTATAGGTGTCCTGTGTCACCATGAATGCAGGGACCAGGCCACATAGCGGGGCTAACCCTCCGACTCCCCTCCCATGGGTCCCGCCTCCAGCAGGTTAGGTCTTAACTGTGCAAGACTAGAAGGCGGATCCCGCCTCCTCTCCTCTTCGCTGTTGGATTTCTGCCATCTTCAGTCTGAGAAGCTCACTGCCGTCCCATTGTGCCGTCCAGTCAGGTGAGTCAGCAGCTGGCTCTGGACGGTGGGTGGCCAGCTGGGCTCCAGGGATCCTGGGCCTGAAGCTGGAATGGGGTACAGGTAGGTCTCCAACCCAGCGAGAGATACTCAGCTTTTTGAGGACTGGCCTGTGGCTTCAAGGTGCTTTGTAGACGACGGCGGCCCGTTTTGCAGAAAGGAAAGCTGGGGCCCTCTGGGGAGCAAGGTACTTGTGAATGGACGGCCTGTACTGGGTTCTGCTAGTCCACTTTCCAGAGCCCTCACCCCATTCACAGGACTAGGAGAGGATCCCCCGATTGGTCGTATCTGGGGGCCTGGCCTGAGGGCCTCCTGCGATTGGAAGGATTCGGGCTGAGCGTGCTCCTCGTGTCCGCCCCTCCGCTTTGTGTGGAGGAGGAGCTCTGACCCCAACCCGCCCCCGCACAAGACAAGAGCTTGTGAAGGGGTGTAGGAGCTCACTTGCCCTGGTGCGGACAGACCTTCGCAGCTAGCAGGTACTTCTGAGTTGCAAGCCCAGGGCTCTGGGCTGGTAATCCTGTTCTCCTTACTCCCCCACTTTGACCTTGGGTAAGTTTCTTTTGTTTTTCTTGTTTCTGAGCAAGGCACCCAGAGCCGCTCTGCTGCAGGGAGGCGCTGAACCTTGGAACCATAGCTCCTGCCCTGAAAAAACATAGCTCCTGCCCTTCTTTTTTTGGGAGCTGGGGAAGGGGGTCCGTGAGTAGCCCTGGCTGTCCTGGACCTAGCTCTGTAGATCAGGCTGGCCTTGAACTCAGAGATCCGTCTGTCGATTCTCTCAAAAGTGCTGGAATTAAAGGCATGCATCACCATGCCAGGCTCATACCCTGGGAAGTTTCTTAAGAGCAGCTGACTCTTGGCTTCTGGTCTGTAAAATAGAGAGGTACGGTGGCTAACAGTGCACCTCTCCTGAGGTTTCTGGCGAATTCTGATCCGAGGAAGCTGCTGCTGAGTGTTGGCACTGTCCTCTGTCTTGATAAGTTCTCCATGCCCAGGAGAGAGCAGGGTCAAATTTAACAGAGGTGCTTGAGATCCAGCGGAGGTGACAGTTCACTTAGGAGCTGAAGTCCTCGGGCTTGAGAGATAAGTTACTCTACTTTGCCCTGTTTGCCACACCCAGGATCATGGAATCGTCTGACTGATCTCGACGCTCTGAGGGACATATCCATCCCCTGCCTGGAGTGCAGGCAAAGAGGCTATCACATGAGAAGGCCAGCCTTGCACAGTTGTGGAAAGGGGTCCTGTGTATCCTAGCAGAATGCCTGGCCGTGGGATGGTTCATGACGTGGGCGGTTCATGACTGCCACCAGGTCTGCCCCCAGCCTGAGACACCGACAGCTATAGAACAGAGGACTCCTACTACTGCTCTGCTGACCTGACCCAGGCCTGGAAGAGGGCACTGCAGGGCAGGAGCTCTCCAGAGTCCCTAGACCCTGAAGTTCCAAGGCCACACTAGCCCCTGGGGGTATCCCTTCACAAGAAGACCCGTCTGGGAGGCTGCACTCCCTATCCTTGGGGCTCAGTAGGCCCTCTGGCCCCTCCCCTGGTATCTGTGTGGCCAAAGGCAAGCCTTAAGTGAGGGTCCTGGCTTCATTTTCCTTCCTCTTCCTACCTTCTCGTCCCTGGACTGTGGTGATGGCTGATCCGCAGCTCCCCTGACTGGCCCTCTGCAGCCAGAAGTGGAGTTTGGTTTTGCTTTTGTTTGCTTGTATTTTACTCCTTTAGTCTTTCTGAACAGTAGATGTTCACGGGGGAAGGAGGCAGGTGTGGTAGCAGTCCAGATCTGAAATCTCAGCACTCAAGAGGCTGAGGTGAAAGGATGGGAAATGCAAGGGCAGCCTGGACTGTGCGCTGAAACTCCCTTGAAAGGGGACACACACACCAAACCACAGACACCCCCACACACTGACACACATTACTGCTTTGGGAAACTGCAGGGAGCTGTTATCTGCTGGAACATTTTGGCTCACATATTCCCAGCCAGCAACAGTTTGCTACATCCTAATAGCATGGCCTACAAACTACAATACACCGCAGCGTGAAACCCACCTGCTGTCCTGTGGCCCTCCCATGGTTATAAGGGAAATAACCAACTCAGGACCAAGCTATTTTTCCATGTTACCTGCAGAGAATTTGCACACACTTACTGTTTTCCCATAGCCTCGCCGGCACAGCGTATTCGTATTATTTTCACCACCTGTCAGTTTTACGGGCGGATATATATGCCATGTTCGACTCTTTGTTTTTCCCATTGACTGTGATTTGAACATGCCTTTGTCTGTTGGCTCTAAGTTTTTCCTTTTAGTAAATTGCTTTATCTGTGACATTCATCATGTTCAGTTTGCATTTCCACTCTTAGAGCCAGACCTGTACAGCCCTTAACACAGTCTTTCACCCCCCCTTCTCCCCTCTCTTCAACTCCTCCTTTTCCTTCTTCTCTTCCTCTTCCATTTTTGAGACAGGGTCTCATGTAGCCCAGGTTGGCCCCAAATTCTCTAGTAGCTGAGGATGACCTTGAACTCCCGTCTTCCTGCTTCCACCTCCCAAGAGCTGTGCTACCAGCCTTCTCCGGTACACTTGGCTTCTGTGACTCCAGGCATGAAGCTTTATGCACACTCGGCTGGCAGTCTACCAGCTGAGCTGCCACCTTACCTTTTTTGAGCAAAATGTAGGCTGGAGAGCTATATTTTGTTCCCTTTAATTAATAATCAACGTTCAGAATTTGTTTTAGGTTTATGGAAAAACTGAGGGCAGAGCTGGGTCCCCATATGTTCACTCTGCCCATGCCTTCCCTTGTTAAACATTTACCATGCTGTGGGAGCCGATGCCAGCAAATCAGCAGAGGCTGTTGTATGGTGTTTGTGTGTTCTTCAGGTTTGAGGTGTGTAAGGACGTGTATACACCCTTGCAGTCTTTGATCCCAGGAATGTTCTCCACCCCACCATCCTCTCCTCAGCCCTGGCAACCACTCATCTTTTTTGTTACTATCTCTGGTACCCTGGTTTGACTTTTCAGAGTGCTGTGCAGTTGTGATCAGAGTGGATGGCTCCTTTGCAGATTAGCTTCTTTCACTCAGCGGTTTGCATTTAGGTGTCTTGAGCATCTTTTCACAACTTCCTAGCACATGTTCTCTCTGTTCTTGGTTATATCTGAACCCCATCACACAGGATTTTTTTTTTTTCTGTTCACTCTAATGGTGTCGTAGTTGTTTCCAGGTTTGGTCAGCTGTAAGTAATGCTGCTGTCAACGTTTGCATGTGGGGCTTTACATGGACATTAGTTTTCTGTCCATTTGAAGAAATACCAAACTCTAGATAGGGTTTTTATCCTTGTGATGAAGCACCATGACCAACAGCAACTCCAGGAGGAAAGGGTTTACTTGGCATATGCTTCATCTTTACTGTTCTTCATCAAAGGAAGTTAAGAACCCAAAGAGGGCAGGAACCCAGAGGCAGGAGCTGGTGCAGAGGTCATACAGGGGTGCCGCTTACTGGCTTGCTCCACATGGCCTGCTCAGCCTGCTTTCTTATAGAACCCAGGACCACCAGCCCAGAGGTGGCCCCACCCACAATGAGCCGGGCCCTTCTGCATCCATCACTAATTAAGAAAATGCCACTTAGGTTTGCCTACAGCCTGATTGTTTGGAGGCATTTTCTCAGTTGAGGTTCCCTCCTCTTCAGTACTCTAACTTGTGTCAAGTTGCTATAAAAGTAGCTGGCACAGAGTGGGTTCTGGAACCCGTAGTTAAAGTGATCTTTGCATTAGAACAGGAAAACTTTTGGGAACTGGAGAGCACTTGCTGCTCTTGCAGAGGACCTTAATTCTGTTCCCAGCACCCAAGCCAGGCAGCTCACAACCTCTTATGTCTCTAGCCCCAGGGAAATGTGGTGCCACCTTCTGGCCTCCACAGGCTCTGCAGTTTGATGGCTTAGATCTTCATTAGCTTCTGTTTGAATTGTTTTCCTTCTGTTTGAGTTTTGAGGGTCTGCTGTTCTTTCTCAGGTTTCCAAGTTTATGGATTCTTATTTTATTTTCTTGATGAAGTCTTTTAGAAGTAGAATTATTTAACTGAATGAGGTAAGACTTAATTCTTCTTTTCATGAGCTCTCTGGCGCTGTGCTTTGAAAGCTGTTGATGAATGTTGATGAATTCAAGGCTGTCCATGTTTCTCTTATTATCTCTGAGAGGCTTTTAACCTCAGGTCTATGATCCATTTGGACTTGATTTTTGTGAAGGTTGTGCAACGTTTGAGCCAGCATGGCCTCCTGTGACATTTTCACACACTCACCCCTGAACGTTCACACTCCCACAGGCTAGTGAGATGGGGAGGGAAGCAGACATGGGTTTGGGTCTGAAAGGCTCGTATGTGAAGTTGGGCCAAGCAGACAGGCGTCCCTGCTCTGTGCTGTGAGAGCTCTGGGTGTTTGGTGACCAACAGGCGTTTCGGGGTGTTCCTTGCAGCAGCATGCTGTGGAAAGCACATGTGTGAAGCAAATGTGTGAAATTCATGAGGCTGCTTCACACTGAGGTTTCTGCACTTCTGAGCTGGTGAAGCTTACAGGTTTTTTTTCCCTTAAACCAGGCATATGTGGTAAATGGACAATTTAAGGAAGGATACCAGTGAGAACCCAGGATTTACGGGAAGGTAGTGAACTTAGGAGCCATCACACTCACTGAGTTCTGCTTCGTTCCCTCCGCCCTCTCCTCAGCCTTTCCCTTTGGTACCGCCCCAACCCCCCAGTCCCTCTGTGCTGTGAGCCTGATGTTAAGCGAAGCTTGTTTTTGTCCCTCTTGTGGCTTCTGGGCCTGGTGTAATAAGCCTGGCACAGCCTCAAGAGAAGTGTGGTAGCTTTCTCATTAACATCGAGGTAACAGAGGTTTAACGGACAGTGACCCAGGTCACAGAACTGGTCAGTTCCAGGCTATGTTCTAAAATAGCTCTGAGGACTTGCAGCAGGT